TCGTTAATACTATCATTGCAGCAGGTTAAGTACAAACACTTACTAATGATTCTGTTGGTATTATTTTTTTCCTACTAAATCTTCATAATCCAGCATGTTCTTCCATTTACAGCGCGGCTCCATTCTGAGCAGCCACATTTCAAGTGCTCAGCAGCTCTGTGCAGCCAGCGGTTGCAGTGCTGGGCAGCATGGTCTGACACGATCCAGAATCAGACTACGTTAATAATTATAGCTTGCCTGAAAGCCAGGCTTATTCTCAGAGAGTCTGTGGACCGCAGACAATACGTCTGTGGACCTCCAGAAATCTATAGATCCCGGCTAGAGAAGCTCTGAGTTAGCTTCTTACGTAGTCAGATGATATATCCCATGGAAATTTACTGTCAGGATAAACAGGGAAGCGAGGAGGAACGAGAACCCATCTAGTCAAACCTCGTGGAGAAACGGAACCCTGCTCCTTGCTGGTCGGCACTCACAGCAGCTCTAGTGGGCAAGGGGTCTCTCAGGGCTGCCTCTCCTGATCAGCTCCTGAGCCCCCTCTATGTCCTGGTCCCTATTCTCCATACCTGCCCCCAGGCTTCTGCTGCCCCTCACTTCTCCCTCCTGTCCTCTCCGGGGTGTGTCTGCTTCTCCCACCCTCCACCAGCCACTTCGCTCTCCCTCTCCGTGTGCCTCCCACCGCTCTGCTCTGATGGGCTTGGGTTGGGGTCATCTCCCCAGCGTACGGCACCCCTTTGAAGTGAGTGTCCTCTCCGGCCCCTGGGGGAGGTCCCCTGCTCAGAGCCAGCTCCCAGAAGGAGGACAAAGCAGGGGAAGAGCCTGCCTACACTGCCCGCTCTGATGCCCCTGTCCTCGGAGCCCCCAGTGCCTCCTGGCTTTCCAGACCCGAAGCTCTCCCCAGTCTCACTTCGCCAGCTGCCCTGCAAGGAAAGAGAAGGGGGCAGAAGGAGAACACAAACAGCCACTTTAATCTTTCTAAATTGCCACTCAAAGCTGCACCTCCCTCCACAGTGGTCCCATGTTTTATGGTTGCAAGGACCCTACTTGCTCTGAGTGGGTAGAAGGAGGGAAGAGGAGGGAGCCGTGAGCTCTCTCTAGAAATGAGAGAACCTGCAGCCACCCTGCTTTGGATGGCATTAGAGAGGCATTTTGGTGGCATGCCCCCCTCCACACACACAGGCACTAGCCACCAATCCTTGTGCTTAGGCTGTCCCAAAGGCAGCTCGGTTTCTGTAGGACAGCCGTTCACAGCCAGGAGCCAGTCTGCTCTTCCCTCCCCAGGGGCTATTGGCAATGTCCAGACACACTTTTGAGTGTCACAGCTGGGGCTAAGCAGATACTGGCACCCAACAAGTAGAGGCCAGGAGTTGCTAAATAGCCTGTGGTGCCCAGGACGCCCTCATAATGTTGAAAGTGCTGAGGCTGAGAAACCCTGTGCTTTAGGGAAAAATTTTTCTTTCCTATATTTTTTCCTCCCTAGGTCTGAAGGTAACAGAGAAGTGTGAAGGGGTGAAGCAACCTAGAAGCACGTTGGACAGGCTGAAAATCTCATGTACACGGGAATGTCTGAAACATCTTTTTCTTATGTTATAGCAATGGGGGGAAGACATGGGTCATCAGGATGACTTAGGAAGGGAGAAGCATGTAAGCCCCCAGTGTCTGGGTGCCAAGCCCAGTCAGACAGATGCCATGACTTGTTTTTTTTTTGTGTTTGTTTCTTGACTATTCCTCTATCCAGATGTAGAAAGGTCAGTCTGCTTCGGCCTAAAAGAACACCATCTTTCCTATCATATTCTGGATCTTATCGAAAGGTAAGAGCTTGCCTACAGCCTCAAACATGCCACAGAAGAAATGTAAAACATATTCAGGCTAAGAGATGGCCAGGGCATAGAAGCCCAGTAGTTTTGTCAAACTTCTGACCTGTCCACAGGGAACACATGGGCTCTCCTCCCGACAGGGCAGGTGAGCACACTGGGGCCAGCACAGCCTCGTCAGGCCAGAAGTCACTGATCCTGGTATTTCCCCATGGGCTCATCTCTGAGTAGGGCCTTCTAAGATGTTTTCAACACTCTGGGGAAGGCCTTGCAGTCATCTTTAATTCACAGGTGGGAAATCTAAGGCAGAGAGAGGTCACGTAAGTAGCCTGCTGCCTCACAGCTGTCTGACTTGATGTGACCGAACTTGACACTTGAGCACCAGGCCATGATGCTGATCAGCCTGGGGACCTCAGTCACTGGAGACTGGTACCTCCAGATTATTAAAGCAAAGCCATGCAAATGTGTTCACTGACTGAGCATCAGCCTGGAACCTTTGCACTGAGCCTTGGCTTGGCCCCGGGGAGAGCATGCGATGAGGTCCAACTCTCTCGGGCTGCTGTGCTTCATCCCCTCCTTCTCCCTCTCTCCACGTGCCTATGAAATGGCAAAATCCAGGTGCCACACCCAACCTGCATGACAGGATATAAATTTAAAGGCACAAGAAGGTGAGCTTGTTCCCAAAGACTCACACAGTAGTTTGAAGGAGTTATTGGAACTCGCAGTTGACCCCATCCCTGCCGTGTTGGCACGGGGAGGAACACAAGCATTTTATAAGCACGGCTGCAGGGGGAGAGGTGAGCTCACTTCCTGAAGGGAGTTCCTGTAGGGGGTGTCTGGGGGCGTCTGCTATGGGGGCATGTGTCTGCAGGGCCAGCCAGGCCTGGCTTTCAAACCTCTGAAACGGCCCACGGTATAACCAGGCATGAAAAGACAGATGCCATGACTTGTTTTTTTTTTGTGTTTGTTTCTTGACTATTCCTCTATCCAGATGTAGAAAGGTCAGTCTGCTTCGGCCTAAAAGAACACCATCTTTCCTATCATATTCTGGATCTTATCGAAAGGTAAGAGCTTGCCTACAGCCTCAAACATGCCACAGAAGAAATGTAAAACATATTCAGGCTAAGAGATGGCCAGGGCATAGAAGCCCAGTAGTTTTGTCAAACTTCTGACCTGTCCACAGGGAACACATGGGCTCTCCTCCCGACAGGGCAGGTGAGCACACTGGGGCCAGCACAGCCTCGTCAGGCCAGAAGTCACTGATCCTGGTATTTCCCCATGGGCTCATCTCTGAGTAGGGCCTTCTAAGATGTTTTCAACACTCTGGGGAAGGCCTTGCAGTCATCTTTAATTCACAGGTGGGAAATCTAAGGCAGAGAGAGGTCACGTAAGTAGCCTGCTGCCTCACAGCTGTCTGACTTGATGTGACCGAACTTGACACTTGAGCACCAGGCCATGATGCTGATCAGCCTGGGGACCTCAGTCACTGGAGACTGGTACCTCCAGATTATTAAAGCAAAGCCATGCAAATGTGTTCACTGACTGAGCATCAGCCTGGAACCTTTGCACTGAGCCTTGGCTTGGCCCCGGGGAGAGCATGCGATGAGGTCCAACTCTCTCGGGCTGCTGTGCTTCATCCCCTCCTTCTCCCTCTCTCCACGTGCCTATGAAATGGCAAAATCCAGGTGCCACACCCAACCTGCATGACAGGATATAAATTTAAAGGCACAAGAAGGTGAGCTTGTTCCCAAAGACTCACACAGTAGTTTGAAGGAGTTATTGGAACTCGCAGTTGACCCCATCCCTGCCGTGTTGGCACGGGGAGGAACACAAGCATTTTATAAGCACGGCTGCAGGGGGAGAGGTGAGCTCACTTCCTGAAGGGAGTTCCTGTAGGGGGTGTCTGGGGGCGTCTGCTATGGGGGCATGTGTCTGCAGGGCCAGCCAGGCCTGGCTTTCAAACCTCTGAAACGGCCCACGGTATAACCAGGCATGAATATTGATTCAAATAAATTACGAATGTTTATAGACTCATTTATTTTATTCACACGCTCACTCCATGTAGTTAGCTGGGGACACAGCCATAGGGCCAGTCAGCTCTTGGATGCTGTAAAAATCAGTTGCTTTGAAATATTTGGTGGCCAAAAGGAAATCCAAGTCATTAGTCAAAATCAGAACCAAAATGACAGCAAATTGCTGTCAACTGGAGCGTTGGTGAGTCCAAGTCTGCGGGGTCAGACAGTGCCCAGTTCCCTGGGCTTTCAAGGACCCATGGAAGAGCAAACAGGGACAGCTCCAGGGCAGTCCAGCAATTATCATTTTAACAAATAGGGCCCTTTTCTAATATTCACATTCCTTTCGCATGGCCTCATGAAAACACAAACATTCACTCCATCCTCAAAAAATGCAGGCGCTCTGGGAGGAAAGAGTTACCCTCTCAGCCCTGGCCGTGTGGGGGACCCAGAGAAGGATGTCAGGTCCTGGGTGGTAAAGCTGATTGTTTCTGGCTCAGCTGACAAGCTAGACCACACTTCAGGGGCATTGTCATGCCCCGTTCCTGGGGCCACTCAGAAGGGGAAATTTCTTCTGCAAGAGACCCTTGGAGGCCCCCATCCAGAAGACCGGGCTTGCATGATTGGTGAGAGGGGCACAGAGTGACAGACCAGCCTACCTGCTCCCTGGTGGGAAGCAGGCTCACTGGGCAGACCTCAGGGTCTGCATATGACACAGGGGTCCCAGGGGCCCCTCCAAACAGAAGCCAAACTACAGTGGTCAGGGCCTGCCCTGCAGATGGAGACTTTTCCCCAGGAACCACATTTTGGAGATGAAAAACAGGGGTTGCTGTTGCCCTATGTTTTGAGGACTGAAGTGCTCACACATTGTCTGATTTGTGGTTTCTCCTATCACTCCATTACCAACCCCAAAGGGAAATGGAATACATAATTCAGATTTCCTACACGTTAAAGCAAAACCTTATGTACTTCTTTACTGAAAGGTCACTGAAATTAACCTTAGCACTCTATATTTTTTTCTCTTACTGTTTCAGAAAATACTCTTACCCTGGAAATGTGCACTACAGGTTATGAATATTTAAATTAACACGAATTTACCTCAGTATTTTCTATGGGTTCTTTTTAAATATCATTGTCTGATCGAAACGAAAGTAAACTAGATAAAGTTTTGAGGACAGTAAACATAGATACAGGGGTTTTCACTTTATATTACATGTTCTACAATTTTTTAAAACAATGAGGTGGTTATGTAATATGAAAATGATTGTTTTTAAACAAAGGAAAAAGCAGCGATACATAAAATTTAAATACTTAAACACTTAGGGAAAATAAACAGTATTCCAAAGTTAGGAAGGAAGGGAGGAAAGTTTTAAAATTGTGTGACTATAATCCCCAAAGTACAGTTCTCAATAGTTTTTCCTGAAAGATCGGTCACTCTGGCATGTAACTCCTCTCAGAGTTAGGACTACAGGAGGCTCTGGGGTGCACCGCCCTGCTGCTGTTCACAGACGCAGCCCTGGTTTCCGTCGCTAAATACTAATGGAAAGGATCTGGACCTCTCTGGACACCGGGGGGGAAGGAAAGTGTCTAATGGAAAACTCAAGTGCTAATTGAAGAGAAAGTTGTAACTCTGAGCCAATTTAAGGGGGTAAAAATCAACACTGGGCTGCTTACATCAATGGAGTAGATACCGCTGATCACAGAACGGAGTGCAGCCAACAGGCATTTGAAGCCAAACGTCCAAGTAATGGATTTAAGTAAAATTATTCACCAAAACTCATTCGCAAACTATGCATTCAGTAGTGTTTCCTCTAATGGTACCTCCTAGCAAGACACTGTTTCCAAGCTTTACACGGAGAGATTCCGCATCTGCAGGTTAAGCGGGTGGTGGCCATCGTCCCTGCAGAGTACTCCATGCAGGAGGGGATGCACTTGTTCGTTAAGTTCTTTGAACATTTTTAACTTGGACTAATTGTTACAAGATTGATGGAAAGGCGTGAGTCTGACAGCAGGGTCCCTTTACAGTTTCACTCCTGCGTTAGCCTCCTGCCTCTGGACCTTCTGCCATTACACATCACAGTGGGCTGGTGTCTACATACATACACACACACATCCCATGTACCACATGCACATATGTACCACACTTACCACACAAACACACTCTACACATACCCCACACATGCACACACATTACACATGCACACACATACCCCACACATGCACACACACATGCCCCTGTATGTCCTGGCTGCACAGGTAGCTGTGTGATCCTGTCAGGCTACCATCAGTAACTGAAGAGCCAATAAGCGCTTAACTTCCTCTGGGCCTCATTGTGGAGACGATTGTGCCCCGAGGTAGCCAAGTGTAACATCCTGAGTCACTTCCATGAGCACAACAAGACAGGGCCTCTCTCAGCTGTGAGGAGACAGGGCGGGGGGACGTTGTGAGTCACTGGGTTTACCAAAACAAAGTGGGCTGCATTCCACATGCTGGAAAGTGTGAGTGGCCCTGTTTTTACACTGTGCAAAAAGGGGCAGTAAACCTCAACAAAAAATGAGCACCCTTTCTGAGCATTTGTTAAAGCAAAATAAGTATTTTTTTAAGCAGAAGCAAGCTGTAATTTTCAATTTTTCTGGGAACTGCCCACAATTCCATCAGGAAGGTGAGAGTTAAGGCATGGTGCATACTACAAAGCTCTTAGGTAAGCTGGGATAGTTCTCCAGGATGTAGGGTCCTGGAGGAAAAAAACAGGTGGCAAACCATGCAGAGTAGGAGACCACGTATGTGGAGAGAGGACTTTACTCCAGCCACAGATACGTGTGCGAGTGTGCAGGAGAAGGACCTCAAGAACCCACTCCAAACCGCCAACAGTGTTCTACAAAAAATAACAGAAGAAGGGGAAAAGGAAGTTGGATTTACACACATAAGTAAGAACCACAAATGTCCCCAAAATGCCATACCTCAGTTGGCAGGACACGCTGGGTTTGGGGATTTTTTTAAGCTGAAAGGATGATTAGTAGAAAGCAAAAAGATGTAAAAGATTCCAAGAGCTGCATTTTAAGTCTCTTGTGGGTCCCCAAGCCCCATGCCACAGAGAGGAGCTCTGGGACCTGATGGCCACCGTGTCCCTGCAAGCAGAGAGGTGTGGGATCAGTGTGTCCAGGTTCCGACTCTGCCTCGGCCACTTCCTGCTGGGTGGTCTGAGTCACTGTCTTCACTCTCCAAGCCTTGGTTTCCCAGATTGTAGGATGGAGTCAAAATTGTCCTTAACCTCTGTGGGTAGAAAGAGTAACAGAAATCAACACCTGTGATGGCTGTAAGCTCTGATACAGGGTGGCTGTTCCAGAAACACTGGTTTTGTTATCAATGAACCCAGAATGCACAAGAAAACTCCCCTGGGCAGGATCACATTTCAAGCTCACAGATTCGCCCACAAGTCGTTGCAGAGCACTTCCCAAGTGCCAGACACTGCAGGCCTGCCGCCCCACCTTCTCCATCAAAGGACTTAGCAGCAGTCACAACACAGAGGAAAAGGACCTGGACCCTGAGAGGCAGAGTCCAGGCCAGACCTGGGGACAGGAGAGAAGGTCAGGCTTCCTGAGGAAGCAACACCCAAGACAGAAAAGGGCTCAAAGGGTGAGCACACATCCCAGAAAGAACTTGGGAGCAATAGAGGAACAGGTGCCTGGCAACGCAGCTAGGGCAGCAGGAGGCAGCGTAGGGCAGAGGCTAGCAAGGTGAGCAGAAGTAAAAGATCATTTACTCCAAATAAACCCTCCTGCCATCACATCACACCACACATGGGTTCTCCCAGCTGGGTTTAACGCAGCAGCCTGGTGCATGGCATGTGGAAAAAGTGGGGGATGGTGGTCAGGGCACCTACACAGCAACAGAAAGGCAGGGCAAGGCAGGGCTGGGAGAAGCTTAAGCCCACAGATAAGGAAAAAGCCCAGAGTCCCCGAGCCTGTGTGCAAGCCCCAGGCAGGCAGGACAAGAGACCCCAAATGAGGGAGAACTGCCGCCACACTCTCCTTTGCAGACACCTGCAGGTCAAGGTCCCCCAGGCCTGATCTCAGCGGGTTTCTAAGGCAGCGCCCTCAGCTGGCCCTCGCTGTAGGGAAGCACCACAGTGATGGTGGAGCCGGGGAAGGGCTCCAGTTCCTTTCAACAGTGGACTTGGGGCACCTGGGTCAGAGGCCAGGGCCCCAGAGATCCTCCGGGGAGGATGTCGGCCCTGCTCTGGGGCAGCCAGGTGAGAGTGGAGGAGGGTGACGTCCTGGTCCAAAAATGAGGCTGGGTAAAGTGCAGAGGTGGGTCCACAGAACTTATCCCAAACTTCTCTGGGAATAGAGTAAGGCAATCAGTGTTTCTATCTTACCACTGTTTCCTTTTTGGCTGGATTGGAAAATTGTGGCTCACTGTCTAGTCTTCCTGTGTCACAAAGAAGGATCCATGGATTGATATGGATTCATACCAAAGTGGGTAACAGATTGAGGAATCCTGTGCCCAGCACCCCCACAGCCCTGAGGACTTTGAAGACTGAGGCAGCCCTGCGTTCCATCGCAGGACCCCATGCCAGCCCGCCCAAGGAGCAGCTGCCCCATGGAATGGCTGAGAGGGGTCCCAAGCTGCAGGGCCGCAGGAAGAGCAGACCGTGAAGCACAGCAGAAGCCACAGGGGCCAAAGCAAGCTGAAGCGACAAGAACCACATTCTGAGGAAGAAGACCATGTGAGCTGGATGGAGACAAGCTGGTTTTAAAGCACAAAGAAGAGGATGCAGGCAGAAAAGGGGCTGACAGAGGCCAAGCAGCAGGGAAGGCAGATGCCCGGTTCTCCAGAGCTGCACCCCGGGTGCACCTAGGCCACCCACTGAAAGGCATGGGGTTCCACTCTCCTCACCTGCCCGAAGCTACCTGAAAGCCCCTGTTCCTGGGGTGCATGGGACAAACATACCCGAGGGACTGGGCGGAGGTGGGCACTTACACCAACTCTCTGCTACTGATTTCTGAGGAGCTGAGTCAGCAGTGGTGCAAAGAATTCAGACATGGGGAACTTCCATCTGAATTTTATAAAGGCAGGCAGGCCATGGATTTCACCGCCTTGTGAACTTTGACTTTATATTGTGCAGGATTCTAGGAAAGAAAAATCAGACCAAAGGACAAGGTCCTACAAGCTAGAAATGGTTTACAAAGAATCATTTGTGGTAGATTAACTTAACACATTCGCTTTTCTAAAAGTGACATAGAAATTCAAAGAATTTCTGGTAGAATATGTTTCTATAAGAACTTTCTTCACCTTTGCTTCAGTGTGAAGTCATTCTTTAAAATACAGACTTTCAAATCCAATGCACCCTAAAAGGTGGTGAAATAGGTGCTACAAAATAAACCTTCTCATCCTCCCTTAAGTGTTACCTCTCCAAGTCTGACCTTCTCCAGTGGTAATATGTGACTTGTCTGCTTTCTGAAATTCCTCCTGCCAAACTACCACTACTTTCTGTTAGTAAGAGAACAAACTAAACATCTCCCCCAGAGAGCCCCAGCTACATTAGCATGGCAGTTTGTTAAAGATTCTCTTCTTTCTTCTCCTCTTTCTCCTCCGATTTCTCTTTCTTCTTTTTGAAGCAGCTTTCGTCAGCAGCTTATCTCCAGAAGCCGAGAAAGCTACCTATTAACTTTCAGCTATCTCCTATCCCCTGAACTCCCCGCTCCCCCAAGCAGGGAGCGGCTGCAAGTTGTTTGACCATTTTCAACAGGTCCCCAGGCATCCTGGCTATGCAACCCAGCCCTGATCCTGGTTTTTGCATCAAAGCTGCTGCAACTCTTTAGTGACATTGGTTTAGGGTAGGAGGATGTGTCAGAACTCAGAGCTCCTTAGAAGCTGAATGATGAGGAAGACATAGGAAAACAGGGACCTGGACTCCTCTCTTTTCCATCTCAGTAGCTTGGATCTTCACTGGTCTTACTCTTCTCTATGTTTCTAATCAGATCCAGGATTTCCATGGCCAGCCATGGGCCCAGCCTCAGAGCTGCAAGATGAGCCATTACACTTGATCAGGCTCCTGGTTCAAAAGCTTGAAGTGATCGGTTAGACATTCCCTGTCTATCTCAGGGAATGCAATTTCTGGGGCGGAATTGGGATATATAATGATACTGTCAAACTAGGTATCAGACTCAGCCTGGAGGACCGGTCATGAAAGTATTGGTATTTTCAACCCTCAAGATCTTTCCTGGTTGGTCTCCAGTTGAAACCAATCACTGTCCACGTAGTGTTCTCGTCATATCAGATGAAGGAATGCAAGCACCCCTTCAACAGTGCCTCCACAGTGTCAGCCCTGGGGGCTCCCAATCGATGGGTGTGACTCCGCAGCCATCTTGGATCCAAGAGTTTTTTAAATCTCTGTGTTTTCCATCTCTGGTATTTTTTACTGGTTCTTTCTTAGGATTTCCATCTCTCTGCTTATGTCTGTTCTTGCATGTTGTCTATTTTATCCATCTCTGGCATATTAACTAATCATAGCTGTTTTAAATCCCCAGTCTGATTATTACAACTCCATGGCTGGTCCTGAGGCTTGCTCTGCCTCTTCAAATTGTGTCTTTTGCCTTTTGCTGCACCTTGTCATTTTTTCTTGATAGCCAGACACGACTTCCTGGGTGAAAGGGGTGCTGTAAACAGGCCATTAGCGATGTGGTGGGCTGTGGTGGAAGGGGCAGCAACAATTAGGGGTCAGCCTTTTATGAGTCATGCCTCTGCACTGTGAACTTCATCAGAGTTTCTCAGTTCTTCTGCCCATCAGGTAGGACAGGATGACAACAGTGGGCTGGAGTTGGGTATTTCCTTCCTCCAGTTGGGTTTGGGGCTCTGGCAAATCTCAAAATGGTTCTTTTCCCCTGCCAGACAAGGGAATTTTTCTCTGATGCTGACTTTCAGAGTCTGGTCACTGCCTAGAGGGAAATCTCACAGAATTTGTGGAGGCCCCTGAGGCTGGGTCCCTGCAGAGACTTGTCCACATGGAGCCTCCAGAAATTTGTCAATTTCAGTTCCTGTTTTCCAACCTGGCATCGGTTCCCACAGCATTTCTGCCCCAGTGCGTTGGGACTCCCTGTATACACCCGTCCGTCTCTTACATCTTGGGAGCAGTTTGTCCTGTGTCCTCCTTTTTCTTACAGATCCCAGGAGACTTGTTGATTTTCTAGTCTGTTCAGCTTTTCCCTTGTTAAGATGGCATGAGGCTTTCAGCTCACCACAAGTGGAACTGGAAACAGAAAGTCCCACTTGTGTCCCCACCACCATCCCATGAAAGACTTGGAAGGCAGCAGTGAGCAATGGAAGGTGGCACTAGTGAGGGCAAGTGGGACCTTCCAGCAAGCATGAAGATGGAGGCGTTTGCTCTGTGGTAGCAGCAGCCAAGGGTCTCCTCTCGGGTCCCAGTAGCGCATGATCTGGTACTTGGCAGTGGGGCAGCGAGGTTTCTGCTAGAAAGGTCTCGTGGTGTGGGGGGCATTTCTTCTGGTGGCTTATTCTAGTATCCAAGCTCAGTTCCCTGGCCTTTTTAGAAATTCTGTTCTAATTGCTCAAACTAGCTGAGTGGATTCTGTTGTTTGCAATCAAGAAAGCCTGGCTACTGCAAGGTTTCCAGGGATAAGGCAGCAGGCAATGACCACACAATCAGTTCCTATATCTCTCCAGTGCTCCCAGGTGACCAGACAAGACTCCAGGGCACTTGAAAGATGATTCTGATGGGCCAACTGACAGACCTGAGCCTAATTTTTAAAACATACTAGATAGATTAATCTGAAAAGGTGAGAATTTCCTCACCAGCTGTAGACCAAAAACACTTTTGATGTTTTTATGATCACATGAGTATATCTTGAAGAAACTGATCATGTCCTATATTTTATGTAGGAAGTCCACTTCAAATGGCCTCAAAATAGTTAAAATTCTTTTAAGAAAAAAAGACATTTGAAAGGAAAATGTTGTGTATTCCAGTTCATTAGTACAGAGTTTAAAGGAAGTCTTTTTTCTGCCACTTCTATGTTTCTGAATTACAATTTGTATTAGATTTTGACATAATATTTTGACATTTCATAATTCTACTCCTCAAAAAATAATTGGTAAGCAATTGCATTTGTTCTGAGAGCCGCATCTGGATCTCCTATCTGCCATATCAGGGCAGCCTGCCCTTATTTAAAGCCTGGAGGTTGATCTGGGTCTATAGGTTTATGTAATTAAAAGAACTCATTCACTAATTTATGCACAAAAACCCAGAAGCTCTGGATCCAGCATACAAATAGTGAATAAATAAGGATAATGGTGGAAGGGGATAAAAAGAAGTTTGTGAACAAAAACTAGGAGATTTATCTTAAGAGTGAATATAGATGTCAGAACTGCAGGAGCATGGGGGTGGAGTAGGCTTTAAGCACTATGAAAGGAATGTGGTGTCGATAAAAAAGATTTCCCCATCTTAGCAAGTGACAGCTCCTTTCACCCAGTTTCTGAAGCCAGAAACCTTGGAGTCATACTCCCCATTGTCCTTCCCTCACTCCTTATAGCTGCCCCATCCCCATACCTCTCGTTTCCACCTCCAGCCTGATTCTTGAATCCAGCCGTATCGTTCCAGGTCTGCTGGCAGCATCCTAGTCCAACCGAGTATCATCTCTGGCCTGGCAGTAGCCTCCTAACTGGCTTCCTTGCCTGACCTCCTACAAGCCATTCTCTCCGAGAAACTGGAGTCATCCTGTAGAAGGGGATGGCAGACCACACCCACCTCCACGCCACTCCAGGGCACTGCCTGCCTCGCCAGGCTTATCCCACTGCCATCATGCTTCTGCCAGTTCAGAAGCATGCCAAGCTCGCGTCTCCCTCAGAGCCCACCCAAGAGAGTGACTCTCCCTGGGATTCACTCAGGTCTGAGCTGTTGCTTTTCAAGCCAGGCTCTCTCTGACTTCTTCTCGGCACCTCAGCAAACCAGATGGTGCCAATCCACCCCACCACCTTCATTCTCTCCCAGCCCCAGTTCTTTTCCGATGAAACATCTTATAATCAGTAATTTTATACTTACTTGTGTCTGCCCTTGTTTATGTCTCCCCCCAACTAGACTTCAAGCTTCTCCAAAGTTAAGCTCTTCCCATTTTCATTCACCATTGTGCCCTAGGACCAAGCACTGTGCCTGGCACACAGCAGGTTCTTATATGCATATCCATTTTGATTTTCAGACAGATCAAGACGTTGTTTAGGATATTAATTCAAAGTATTAATTTAGCAGGAAGCAATAGAGGCAGTTTAGCAGGAAGCAATAAACTTAATTCAACAAAACTCCAGTTGAAAACAAATCTGATCAGAGCCTCCATAAACTGGGGAGAAAAAATTACAATGAATTGCATATGAACCTTGCTCTGTGGCTATTTACACCTACCAGGCTGTGAAGAGATAAAGGTTCTTAAAGTCGGACTTGGAGTAAGCAGCCCAGAACACCACTCGCAGAATCTGCTAAAGGAGATGAGCACACACAGCAATCCCACCCTTAATGTGTGAGCAACAGAAATGTGTGCAGCAATGCTCAAAGCAGCATTATTCAAAACAGCTCTGAACTGGAAGCAATCCGGCATCCACCACAGCAGACTAGATGCAGAAACTGTGGTTCAGTCATACAATGGAACACCTACAACCACAAGCAGGAACATGGATGAACTTCACTAACATTACCATGAGGAGGCAAAGAAAAAAATCCAGATGCCAAAACTACAAACTGTATGATTCCACTTCTGTAGAAATAAAAAAAAAAGTCTTACTTAAACTGTGGAATTTAGGGATACATCCTTAAATGTCTCCCAAAATGGAAATGCACCCGTCCTAAGGAAGAGCAAGGAAGCAATTGCCATAAGATCAGGGTAAGAGTTACCTTTGTTTTGGGGTGGGATGCAGGCCCTGGAAACTGCACTTTTAACAAAGAACCTGACAGATTCTAATGTAGTCCAAGCTTGAGGAAATAAACATTGACAACCTCATATCTGAGAAGAGCGTTAAGGGACCATCCAAAAGCTTACCCTGATCCCCAGTGTACTGCTTCGGCCTGATCAGCCCAGGGTCTTCAGTTTCATTCCTTCAAGCCATCCTCTGATCCAGGCATGGTGCCCATCGGTGGGGCACAGAGTTGCCAAGACAGCTCAGAACCCAGCAATGGTTTCATTGTCAGGCCGCTGTGTCTGGGGGGGTGGGGGTATCTCCCTGTGCACCAGGTGAAATCTCAACTGGGACCGGCAGGGTTCTTGACTTTGAATGAAAAAGAATTCTCAGGCAGGTCAAACGAGTGCAGGTTCGAAGGAATTCATTAGAGTGAGAGCAGCAGTGATTGGCAGCAGCCGTGCAGGCAGCAGAGCGTGAGGAGGAGCAGGGGGAGGAGAGGGAAGCTCGCTGGGCCTCAGCACAGGGCAGATCGCTCGCCAACCTAGCGTCCTGCTCTACCTCAGTTTAAACTTGGAAAAAAAGTGAGGGAGAAGCTCAGAATTGCATTACAGTGTGACTAGGTCAGGGCTGAGTGTCTCACAAGAAAACTGACCATTGCAAATCTTACCTACATTTGATCACTTTCCTTAGCATTTAACTGATTGGCTGCATGGCCATCACTGGGAGCATTGTTGGTTATCTGTCATGCGCCAAGGACCATCATTTCACAGTGTGGGATACAGGAAACTGGGCCCAGTCCTGACACAAGTATTAAACCAGCAAACACTCACATCCACTGTAACTGCACCCTGCTGAAAAGACTCCAGTTTTCTAGGAAGACACATGGCTAAATGCAAGCAGAGGGAACAAGCCAGCCTACCATCCCCTTGCCTTCCCAACAGTAGATTTCCCAGAGCTTTCTCTCTGGGCAGCACCTCCTGGGCCTCAGATTTCTCCCAGATGCCCTCCCCAACCCCTCACCCCCAGGGTGCTGTGCTTGACTGACCCCGATGCCAGGAGGCTGCAGCTCAGCTTCGCATGGCTCCATGCTGAGGTCACCATTGAGAACAGTCACCCGTTCATCAGACAGACTTTCCTCTTAAAGTCAGGCCCCATCCCTGAAACTACAGGCCCAAGAAGCTGTGTTGTATTGTGTTATGTTGTTTAAGGCCCCAGAGATCTGTGACATGTGCACATAGTGGGGTCTCCCCTTTTCCACTTTTTTGCTACTCTCCCCCTCGAAATCTATGAATTTTTGAGAAGCTACACGGAGGAATCCTCCAAGGGTGACTGAAACCAGACGTGTTTGGGGTGCATCTGGAATCCCTACCTTTCTTTTCCTGAACTCAGTGGGCAGCTGTGCCTGAAAGCCCCTGCTCTGATGGTCCCACCTGCAGCCTGGAATCCCTTCCCCCTCCCCTCCCCTCCCCCACCCCAGCCCCCTCTCCCCCCTCCGTGTGCCCCTGGCCATGTTATTTCGAAGTCCTGTATTTTAACCTTCAGGCTTTTATCTACAGCCCCTTAAGCAAAGGGGGGCTGCTGGAAGGAGTGTGTTCTTACTCTGAGCTTTAAAGTCAGGGTGGGCTTTGGGGGAAATAATCAGGGGCACTTTCCTTCCCATTACTTATTGAATTTGGGAAGTCTGTGGAGGAAAAAGAATTACACGTATGCAGGCATAACCTCGTAACACATTTTCCAAGTATCTCAAATGAAAAAATGTTCATACACAAAATGGGAGGAACGACAGCTCTGTGGGTGGTATCATGGAAAAAGCTTTGGGCCAGGAGAAGAGAGAAAAGGATTTTCATCTCATCTCTGCCAATAAATCGCTTGGGACCTTAAGCAAATGGCTTCGTCTTCAGTTTCCTCATTTCTGCAAGGAAGTATTTGGATTTACCAACAATTTCTTCCTGCTCAAAAATTCTACAAACTTATGGATGCACATTATTCATAAAGACTATGAATATATAAAGATTCATTATATATAAAGACTATGTGAGCAAAACCTTGACCCTAAGACTTGGCGGAGGTACCTGTCTCCAGTCACCCTGTCCCTCTCTGTCCCAGATGATATTCGATCTACAACAGTACCTGCTGGGCCAGAGTCCCCCCAACCCACCCCCTTCCATCCTTGAGGTGCAGCCAATCCAGGAGTCTTGCCTCTATCGCACGTGTATATGCACAGGTGCCCTCAATAATTAGCTTACTTCTTTCAGCTGCATCCTGGATTACAAAAAGAACAAACTGTACAATATGCCGTAACGTAGCAGGAACAGTCAGGGTTGAATGTAAATAAGTCTGGAAAATCCCGACCAGGGAGAAAAAAATTCAAGTCCCATCAAACTGTTAGAGTTCAGTCTCGAATTTAGCCCCAAATTCCTGGATGACAAAAAGAAAAAGGAAGCCCCCAGATCGGCAATTAGCACCTTGGAACAGAAGTTCACAAAGATACAACCCACGCTTTCAGGGATGTGTAACTCCTCTGTGCCCAATTTCCAAAAGGCATGTCTACAGGGCTCCTCATAGGAGAACAAAAATAACCCAGTGGAGTCCACACTCAGCGGTCATCCCACAGTGAAGTCAGTGGGAGGAAGCATCTGGCTTATCTTTGCAGTGCTTCTCACAAAACCTGCAACAGTCTGTCTGTGGCTACACAGCCAGGTGACAATCAACGCTATAGAGGAAAGGGGGCAGTGGAAGGGTACAGTGAGTGTGGGGTTGGCTGGGGTGCGTTTTTTGACGAATAGTTCAGGAATTTCTTGCTTATTAGATGGCCTATGAGGAGAGATGTGGAGGAAGTAAGAGTTAACCTCCTGGATTCCAGGGGACAAGCACTGCCAGCAGACAGAGCAGCAAGTGCAAAGGCCCTGGGATGGTTTAAGGGAAAAGAAAGAGGCCGCTGGGACTGGAGTCAGATAAGTGCAGGGAACAGTGATGGGAGATGGCATAGAGAGGAATAGGCCCAGGGACAGGGTGGAGGGAGGACTGCCTGAGGCCGGTAAGAATTTTGGCTTTCACTTTGGAGGCTTTTGGGCAGAGTGTGGCTGATGGACAGAGCCAGAAATAACCACTGCCACTTCTTCATTCTTCTCAATCATGCAGAAGCCACAAATAGAGAGCCAGAGCCCCTCCTCTGCCACTGATGGGTCTTCATCATCCAACCCGAACTTTTCTTAAGGTGTGCATAGCCCAGGGTGTGAACACCTCCTTAAATTTTGCCTTGCCCTCCGAATCTTGGCCCAAGGCCAGAGCCCCAAGGCGCCCAAGCTGGTGGCTTCCAATGCATCTTTGTCCCTTGTGGCTGGAGGGTTCTTCAGAGAGGTCCTGGGAGAAATGGCCAGCGGGCTCTCAGCACCCACCCGCCTGTGCCCGCTTTCCCCCTGTGTCTCCATTTATCCTTGAAAACTTCTGCTTGGGAGAGAGGACTACAGGGGCCCTCACCAGGCTGCCCCTCTTATCAGGGGTTATCAGAGGCCAATACAGGGAGCTGCGTGAAAGAAGCCTGTGGAGGAAGGTGAAACGTATCCTTCTAAAGTGTTTCAGTTGTGTGTGTAATAAGCTGGCAGGAATTTGGTTCATTGTAAAGGAAACATGATAGGAGAAAACGGGAACCTGTGAAATGATTGGAAGATGCTGGCATGTGACTATCCCAAGGTGGCCTCTGTGGGTGCTGTTCAGTCTGGATAGAGAGAAGGCTGGGAGGGGCACTTGGCCCTAGTGGGCACCAC